AAGTTAAAGATGTGTGTCTTTAAGATTTTTTTTATAGTATTTTTGTAATTCAAAGTACTTTTTTTACTAATAAAAGTTATTTATCTTTAAAGAATAAGAATTAAACTTAGTAAAAATAAAAAATTTTTAAAATTTATTGTAATGATTATAAAATATTTTGTTTATTTAATATTTAAAAAAATTTAGGTCTCTGAAAATCTAAGGTAAAATTTAATATAATTTTAAAAGGTCACTATATATATATGGTAAAATTATGAGATAAGAAAGGTTGGTAAAATTACTAGTAAATCTGAAATTTTGCCCGGAGACCTTTATTAGAAGTAAGCGGAGTCCTATCTGAACAGTGAACATCTGAAAAAGTTACAGAAAAAATTAAAAGGCATAGAATATTTAATTATAGATGAAAAAAGTATGGTAGGGTATCGTATGCTTGCCTTAATTGATATGAGATTATGTTAAGCTTTTCCTGAGAAATAAAATAAAGTATTTAGTAAACGCTCAATAATCTTGGTTGGAGATTTTGGTCAGCTTCTTCCAGTACGTGATGAACCAATGTACTCAAAAATTTCTCAAGGAGATTCATTGTCAAATGACGGTATAAAGATATATAGACAGTTCCATGAAGTCTATAAGCTCGATGTTATTCAATATCAGTCAGGTGATTCTGATGTACAGTGCAAATTTAGAGGCATATTATTGCGAATGCGTGATGGTGAATCAATGCTAGATAACTGGAAAGAACTTACTATTCAATTCGCTAACAAATCAAATGTTACGTCAGCAAAATTCTTAGATATCATATATATAATGCCTCAGAAGTCCGATGTTGCTAAATTTAACATTAATAAGCTCAAATCTTTAAATTGTCCTATTGCTCTAATCAAAGCTATCTATACAGGAGGTAAAGAGGTGAGTAAAGCTGATCTTAACTTGGCAAAAGAACTTGAGACTCAATTATTATTGGCAAGAGGAGCAAGAGTCATGCTTAGAATTAACTTATGGACAGAAATTGGTTTAGTCAATGGATCTTTAGGTACTATCCAAGAAATTGTGTTTGAAGAAAACCAGTCATCTCCTTCTCTTCCTATTACTGTTTTAATAGAATTTGACAACTATTCTGGGCTGGCTATTGTTACTAAAGAAGGTAAAAGGTTTGTGCTGGTTTCACCAATTAGATACAGTTAGGAGGAAAAAAAAGTAATTTGCTTACGCTTACAAATCCCTATTTGCCTTGTGTGGGCTATTACAATCCATAAGAGTCGGGGTTTAACTTTACAAAAAGTGGTAATAGATATGGAAAAAAAGAAGTATGCAGCTGGACAATCATTCATGGCTATTTCATGATGAGTCTGTGTTCTTAAAAATATTCTCTTTAGCCCATTTTCTTTTGACAGACTTCAGCGCATCAAAAATCACAAAAGATTAGAAGAGAGAATAAAAGAAAAATCAAGGTTAATGAGACTTCAAAATTCATACTGTTAACTTTTTAAATAGAAATCATTAAAATTTTTTTTTTTCCACAATTATGGGAATAAATTAAAAATTTGCAACATAATACAATGTATGTTAATAAAATGACACTTTTTTAGTGATACTATTACTTTTTTTAGCGTTACATTTTTTTTACTACATTTTTAGTGTTACATTGCATTTTATAGTTTATAGTTTAAATTTATGAACTTGTAATTTATGACGTTTCGGACGCACCAACGGTTACCGTTTTCTAGTTATAATAAAATATTTATGATAATTTGATTTTATCCTCTTCAAACCAATTATCTTTCTTATTTTTAACTGATATGTACAAAGCTTTACTATAGATAAATATAAAATTATCAGACCAGTTATATTTAGTAGCAGCTAATTGAAAGTACCTAGTAAGTAAGTTTATAATAGCAAATTTATACATAAGTTTAATTCATGCTAATTAATAGGACTTAAAATATCCAAAGTAATACTTTAGAAAATTTATCAGTTTTGCAATATATTTAATCTTTCTGCATCACTTAATAATTAATTAGCTTTGCAATCAGATTCATCTCTTCATCCAGAAATTATTTATTCAATAATCTCAAAAAATTGAGTTCTCCATTAATTTTAGATCATTTACCTAGAAAACTAAATCTGAAAAGAAGTGATATGAAAATAATAATGACTTATTTTATGAATAATGAAACTTGGAATAACAGCTTATAAGATGAGAGACTGAAAAAAGGTTTAGATATTTCAAAAAACAAGCTGAAATAAATAATATTGGATAGGTTATTATTTTATTGAAAAGGAAAAAATTTTAGGTAAAGCAGTCAAGTTATTTAAAGAAACTGCTTGTTAGAGAAGTTTCTGATGCCCAATTAGATATGTGTTTGCTTTAACAGATAAAATAGTTCACTAAATTTAACTTGAAAGAATTTGCGAAAATATTTAATCATGGCAGCTGATAATGAAAAACTGCTTAATTTAACTTGGGTGGTTTATTTTTAATGGAAATTGGGGCATTTCAAAGAACAAAAGGAAAGGGTTGAGTTATTTAAATTGACAGCTATTAAGGGTCAATCGAAGCTTGTACTATGTTAGATAAGTACTCTCTCTAAATGCACGCATTATATATAAATGCACCCTCCCAAGTATATAGAGATCATATATAATTTCTCTCTCTAAATGCACCCTCTCTAAATGCATTTTTTCAAATATTCATTATGGTCCAAGGGGGGTGCAAACCTCCTGCATTTTAAATCGTACATCGAACCTCCTGAATTTTAGATAAATCTGTACAATGAAGTAAATTTTATGACAAATTTGTACGTGGGAGGTAATATTTATTGCAAATCCGTACATACGAAGTAAATGTAATCTGTACGTCAAACTTTAGTCAATTTCTCATATCCGTACAATAAGAACCGATGAACTTTGACCAAATGCTTTAAATCCGTACAACGAGGTTCCTATTAGTATATTCAGGGGCCCTATCTGAATCAGAAAAGTTTTAGTTCGGAATCGTCCTTGGACAGAGATACTAAATTTAGCATGAATGGAACATTGTTCTGGATATTTTAAGTTCACCGTCTTTTGTCAAGTTCCTGGTCTATAACTTCTCAGGCAAAAATCTATTTACATTTTATATTGGTACCGATCGTTTTTTTCCGAAATACATGAATATAACAATAGAGTTTTGACGTAATATTATTATCAAGAAACAAAGTTAACGGAATCGATACGGGATGTTGGCCAGAATTAAAGCATAGTGCCGGACTAGGTTTTCGTAATGCTGGCCAAGATCCGATTTCCAGAAACATACAACATGTTACACCACGATTGCCCGACGCGTTATAAAATTAATGTAGGGCAAAGTGTCAAAGATTGAATTTCTGACCAACCATAATTCTGATTAAACTGGGATCATCTATATTAAACCGAATTCGTAAAAATTTATTTGTTGTACATTACTTATTTACAATTGTTTTTTTCTCAAAAAAAGCCCAAATTTTTAAAAAAAAATTTCGAAATTTTTTTTTATACTGCAGGAGTGTATAAATTTGTTGAATTTTTTTTTGTAAAATAAGGAATTTGTATTAAAAATAATCTTATACTTAATATGTTTAAAAAACGCTCGGAAAGTTCAGAAAGCTCGGGAAAAACACCGAAGAAACCAACGGAAAAATTATCGGAACACTCTGATGGCTTGAGCAAAATGGGGGAAATTGCTGTTGAAGTTGGCGGAGCAGCTGGAATGGTCGATGTTTTAAAAAACAATCTTCCAAGCGGCAGTACTGCTCAAGCATTCTTTAAAACCGCAGGAGATATAGCCGAAGCTGTTACTCCTTTCCTACCTCTTGTGGGACTTGTGGGTACTTTAACAGAAGAAATTGTAGAAGCATATGATAATGTTCAATATAATAAAAAAACCTGTAGTGCATTAGTCAATCGAGTTGAAGCTGCTGAATTTTCTATTAAAGCATTGATGAGACAAAAAGAAGAGAATCTTAAAAATTTTAAGGATCAAAATTATTATCAAACTTTTGTAAGATTTACAAATTGTCTAAAACAAATTAAGAAATTATTTGAAGATATTTCTCAATTACCTAAATTTAAAAAATTTGTTTCGAGTGCAGATATTAGAGAAAGGTTTGAAGAGAATATTAAAGAATTTAATAATTACTTTAATGATTTAAATTTAGCAATTTCTATCGCTACACAAGATCAATTGGATAAGGATTTAGCAATTTTACATGATGATATGATTGAAATGAATAAGGTACGTAAACATATAATTTCCAAATTTCCTAATTTGAATTCTTTTGACCAATTATTAATTTAATGATATAAAAAAAAAATTTTTTTTCATATACTTATATAGTTTTTACATAAAATTGAAGGTGGTATCACAGTTACAGTTGATAATACCGAAACAATCATGAACAAATTGGAAATCCAAAACAATGAAGTTAAAATAATAGTTGAAAATGTTATAGAACAAAATAAACGGCTTATGGAAATGAATGAAAAACTCGATGAAGACAGAGATAAAGCGATCAAATTCATTTCGCTTAATAGAGTAATTGATACTATTCCCTTACTTAATAAACAAGTAAATGAACAAGACTCAGTTACAGCCAAAGATATTAAAGCTTCAGAACTCCAAGATCCTCCAAGATATGTACGACCACGTCAAGGTAGCAGAGTAAAAATTCAAAAAAAAATTTATAATGCATTGGAAGTTGCTTGTAGACCTATTTCTGTATACAATATTCAAAAAACTAAAAAGCACCTTGCTATCTTGGAAAAATTGGCTGCTTGCCCATATATTATTAAATTTCATGGACTATCGGAAATTTCTACAGAAAAAGTAATGGTTTATGAATGGGCAGAGCTTGGAACTTTAAAAAATGTTTATAAAAATTATAAGATTGATTGGGAGGCAAAGATTTCTATTGCAAGAGATATTTGTCGTGGTTTAGCTTTTTTGCAGTCAGGTATGATAATTTTTATTCACTAGTAAAATGGTATGTCCAATTTCGGTACGATCACTAACTTGTTAATTTTGTCATTTCACTTTATAGTAAGGATTTTTCATCATGATATTCGATGTGAAAGCGTATTAATTAATGAGAACATACAACCTAAACTTACCAATTTCAAATTTGCCCGTGAATTTGATGCTTACCCTATTCCAATTGATAATATAAATGCACTGATACATTGGTTAGCACCGGAAAAATTAGGTCATATTATAGCAGATTGGGATAAAAAGCCTAAAAAAACGGAAGAAGCCAGATATACCATTCAATGTGAAATTTTTAGTTTTGGAATGCTTCTTTGGGAACTTGCTTTTCAAAAAATACCATACGAAGGTATGAGTATGTTAGATATACAAAAACATGTTCTAAAAGGTAAAAGGGAGACATTGAATTTCGGATTAAGTCCTCATCCAATTCAAAGAGAATTTGGTGAAATTATTAAACTTGCTTGGCAACAAGATCCATCATTACGTCCAGGGATCCAACTTCTCTTTAACAAGTTACAGGAGTCATATGAGAAAAATGTATTATCAAACAAAGGTTCTCCATTAATGCGCCCATTAAAAGAAAAAGAAAATACTATCAATAGTACTACAGGAGATGAAGAATTAGTTGGTTCATTTCTTTCAGATTCTGAAGATCAAAATGAACTGACTCCACCAATTGTCATACCATTAATTCCAGTTAGGGAAGGCTTACAAGCTCATTTAGAAGACAATTATAAGAAAGCTTGGGAATGCTTTGAAACAAATGCAAATGTTGGAGATATAATAGCAATGTATTGGCAAGGGTATTATTATTTGGAAGGAAAATATATTGATAAGAACAAGCAAAAGGCCATGGAATCATTTAGAAAGGCAGCAGATGCTGGCAATACTTATGCTCAATTACGATATGCTTTTTGCTTGATTGATAAGGAAAATAAAAATATTGATATTAATAAATTTATGAAATATTTACAACTGGCGGCTGATAATAATAATGCTACAGCTCTTTATAATCTTGGTGATGTGTATTTTTCTGGTAAATTGGGTATTAAAAAGGATAAGGAAAAAGGTATTTATTATTTGAGACAAGCTGCTTTACAAAAGCAAGCCAAAGCAAAAGAAATACTGGAAACTGTTGTACCATTAATTCCAGTTAAGGAAGGTTTACGAGCTCATAAAGAAAAAGATTATAAGAAAGCTTGGGAATGCTTTGAAGCAAATGCAAATGTTGGAGATATATTGGCAATATATTGGCAAGGTTATTATTATTTGGAAGGAAAACATGTTGAAAAGAACAAACAAAAGGCTATGGAATTATTTAGAAAAGCAGCAGATGCTGGCAATGCTGATGCTCAATTACGATATGCTTTTTGCTTGATTGATAAGGAAAATAAAAGTATTGATAGTAGTAAATTTATGAAATATTTACAACTAGCGGCTGATAATAATAATGCTACGGCTCTTTATAATCTTGGTGATGTATATTTCTCTGGTAAACTGGGTATTAAAAAGGATAAGGAAAAAGGTATTCATTATTTGAGACAAGCTGCTTTACATAAGCAATCTAAGGCAAAAGAGGTACTAGACAAAAATGGCATTAGTATATATTTTTAATTATTCTTTATAATTTATTAAAATTTAATAAAAATCAGATTCATAAATAATATTTATAGTCTATTAATAAATTACTACTTATAAACTGTATTATAAACATCTATTTTTAATAGTTAATCTGATATTTTGAGAATAAAATTCAAATCACGATATTGTATTTTTTAGCATATGGGCTGATTTGTCTACCTTTAATTAAAATATTGATTTTATTACATTTTTATCATACAAAATACTATATAATATACAGTAAATTGGGGGTGAGTATTAAAAAACTTTTATTTAATGTTATTATACTATAAGTTGGTAAATATTTCTTTTAAATTAATATAATTCTTA